AAACCCTACTTACGAATGCCGACTTAAAATAAATTATAAAAGTACTCATTAATCAATGAAATGATTTTATGATAACGATATCAAATGATTTATGTACAGCGTAATACATGCAATGTAAGTTGTACCGTGCCCTCCTACGATAAATTATAAATGCACTCAGTAATGATGATGTAAGTTTATAATGATGATGATGCCCAATGATTTATTTGATTGAAGGAACTAGTTCTTTTTTCTATATACGGTTAAGGACATTTTTTATATATATTGAATTCCCGGAATGTATGCATAAATCTTCGCCGTATGGTCCCAGCATAGAAGGGCCACCCTTCCTTTTTTTTATACAACTTAGAATGGCAAACAAGCTGACGGCCCATCTGATGGACTAACTGTGGTCGCCTATAGACATGAGCAGTATCATGGACATAACAGAGTATACTGTTTCGTCCATGATACCTCCCATGCGTTGCCATTCCAGAGGACTCGGGTGTTATTTCTATGTACCCTGTAAATTCACGCCATATCCCACACTTCAAACTGAAACACAGCCATGCAAACACAACTGATTCACGGTAGAAACACGAATGGGACAGAGGTACCCAAGCAATCGACTTTTGTACAAAGTAACTTTCCCGTGAATGTAGTAAAAGGCGACTAAAGGAAATTAATGATCAAGGTATAGGCAGCAGCGTCCCTCTTAAAACACCACCTAAGTCTGACTGCGGTTGCCAAGTGTGGCAACTACTAATAAAGCCCACCAATTGGAGAAGGACTATGTTTAGCAGTGGACAGTTAATGGCTACCATGATGATAATGATGCAAAAATCAACGTTATAACTGTATAATCATTTTTAAATAATAATGAATAAATAAAATAACAAATTAAAGATTTAGTTTCACAAAAAAACCGACTTCAGTTATGAAAAACCCAGTTATTTTGATTGAAAAACTGAACTACCGACTTACTGAACTAAAATTTATAAAGATTCCATGGGACCAATCTGTAAATATAACCTTTCTACAATAATATATATATATATATATATATATATATATATATATATATATATATATATATATATATATATATATATAAATATAAATAGAAATATAAATTCCCAAATTCGTTTATAACTAACAGAGTTATGGGGGTAATCTTTATTTTTGAAATCAATGAAAAATAAAAAAAATTAAAATGTTACGTAATATTTAAATATGTATACTAACTACGATTGTTCTAGATCCCATAGATTTATTTTATTAAAACGAAAGTTGACACTTTTTGCAAAAAAAAATTAACGTAAAATAATTATTTTATTTTTCGAACATAAGAAAACGCAAATTTCCACGTGCGGAACCCTACTAACGTATATCTGTAACAATCATCGTTCGTTTTCAACCATGTTAGTCATTTGTAATCAGGGCTCGTCCTTGACCCCCATGGCTAACTTTTGTCCCGTTACAAATGTGCCTACTCTAGATCTGATGCAGTAAAACAACTCTGCCATGGACATGCCACTGGACAACCATACGACGTTCCTTCTAGTACTTATTGTGGTTTAATACACGGTTTATATTCCACTGGTCGCAGGTTCGATTCTCACACAATACAAACATTTGTATTCATGAGTATATACTCATAAATAAATATTTTACAACCCAGACCAAAGCAAACAGGTGGTCCACCATGAAATGATATTCCGAAATTTCGGACTCAATTTCGTATTTTTGTTCGTATCAAAATCGACCCAGTAAATGGAGCTTAATATTTCGTTCATCATAAATCCTATTCTAATAGTCCAAAGGAACGATATTTTAACATTTTTAATAATTTTAAACAGCATGTATTATGTAATTTTAACATTAAATTTCTGTTTCGTTCGTCCCCGAAATTTCTGAAAATACTTCATGGTAGGCCCTCAGATATCAGTTTACTTTGTTCTGCGTTGTAAAATGTATATTAATGTAAGAAAACAAAGAATGTTCATCAGTTGTTTAATATCCGTAGTAGAAGCTCCATTACTATTACCAGTCTACCAGAGGTAGACTTTGAACAAAAGTGAACGGCTTGGGCATCTCTGTCCCATTCGTGTTTCTACCGTGAAGCAGTTGTGTTTGCATGGTTGTATTTCGGTTTGAAGGGTGGGATTTGGCAGTGAATTTACAGGGTACAGAGGAATAACACCTGAGTTAGGAATGACAACGCATGGGAGGTACCATAGCAAAATAGTATACTCTGTTATGTCCATGTTATTGCTCATGTCTATAGGCGACGATAACCACTTTCCATCAGGTGGGCAATCAGCTTATTTGCTATTCTAATTTGCATAAAAAAATATCATATAGTATTTAAATTTTGTTAATATTCAAAGTTATTTGGAATATTTAGTGTATAATTATACACTGTTATATGCATGTCCAAGTTCAGAGACCAGTCTACCTTGTCATTGCATTGGTCTACCATTTTTGGCCCTTTAATCATATGTATCAGTGTTAAAATATAAATCACTTCTTGATACTGGATAATATATAAGTACATATCATTGAAATGACAGTGTCATGGTCGTACGCCTCGATTTTAATTGATACTCATAACACATGTTAATTAAGAACGTTTAATAGTTATTTTTTAGGATTTCGTAGTCAAAAAACTAAAACGAAAGTTAACCGTTAAACACGACCATTAAGGGAACCCACTCTTTGTATAAAATTTTATTATATCTTATATATAAAATTCTCGTGTCACGGTGTTTGTTACCAAACTCCTCCGAAACGGCTTTACCTTTATTTTTATGAAATTTTGTGTGCATATTGGGTAGGTCTGAGAATCGGCCAACATCTATTTTTCAATCTTTCATCTATTTTCCCCAAAAAAATTTTTTTTGACAAATTTTTCCATTTTTATTTTATTATGATTTAGCATTGAAAAATACATACAACCTCAAATTTTCACCGTTTTACGATCAACTCCTGTTTTTTAATCGCGATTTTTATATTCCGCAATAGGGTTGCAAGATGGCAATCCAATATAATAATTGTAGTAGGATAAATTTCCATGTATAGTTCTAAAAATAATGTATATGGTAAAACAACGTTTGCCGAGTCAGCTAGTATATATATATGTATAGTCAACTATAAAACTCGACCGGACATCGTAGCCTTGTAATATTTAACTAAAAAAACCTTTAAAATTTAGTTTTTAAAACTCGTTACAGATATCTAATCGTGTAATAGTGATATTTCCTGCGTATGACATATTCCATGGCCATATTTTAATTGTTAATTATGCCAATTAATAAAATATTGTGTGCATAAGTATCCGCCATTATAGCTGTCCATAAATCCTGGTTAATAGGAAAGGTTCTCAATTCGTCTATTTCGTATCTCGCCTCCAATTCTGAAGCTATTGTGATAAATATACAATCTTCAATTTTTCACCACATAATGTTTTTATACCACTAAGATGGCATACAAGCATATGGCCCACCTGTTGGTAAGCGGTTACCGTAGCCTATGAACACCTTCAATACCAGAGGTATTACACGCGCGTTGCCGACCCTGAAGAAACCTCTTTACCTCCCTTTAGAAGAACCCCATGCCCAACCCCGTAGTCTCAGCATAAATATATTAGCTCATTGCATAACCTGGGTGTTCGTGGGAGAAAGTATCGCTGAAACTGCACTATACGTGACCATTTTGGCTGTAGGATATAAGGATGAACTCCCTGTCGATGGCGAGCCGTACGATGGTAGAAAGAAATTACATTTCTGTTTACCAAACGTTGCCAGAATGTTCCTGCAATTGTTCCTCCTAATGCTAAGAGATAATATAGCATTAAATCCGCCGTTTATACCAAACACTTTTTTGACACCCTTGTTGGTTTAATAAAAATTTTGTTATTTTTTCATGCTCGATGATCATTGTATAAATCTATGCAAATAGTCATTTAAATGCAAATTCGTATCCTTGAACGGTACTGATTAAAATGTCATGCGATCGTCAAATCAAAAATTAAATTCAGTCTGAGTCGAATCACTTCTCATACTTAAAATATATGCGTATAACAAAAAGCATTAATGCGTCAGCCAATGCTATGGATGGACGAACTTCAAGAGAACAAGTTTTGAACATAAATATTAGAGCAGTGGATTATTTATAATGAGGTCTCATTGTTACTAGTATACTCTGTCAGATCGACCTCCGCGCGGTCTCCTCTGGAAACTATCGTGATTAATTCCTAGCGAAATCGGGTTTATCATTTCATTAATCTTTTAAAAAATCTTTAATTATATAAAGTCTGATTTGGCATTGTCTCTGGGCTAACAAGTCCTTTCGGTACATTTAAAACTAACAATGTTGTTTTGTACACGTCTGAACTAATATTATGAAGAGGGAGGATTTGTTTTTTCGTATGTTTGTTTGTTTGTAATGTAAAATGTGTCTTAATTACTCTGTATTTGGTTTAAATTCACAGCCACTATAGAAACACAACTTTATAGAAATTAAAACTTTGAAGTGACGCAAGAATCAATTTAAATATGTACTCATATTATCTATGTAGTTAACAAAAAATTATGTGAATTTAAATTTAATGTACATACTAAAATGTTAATAAAATATATATGATTGGAGATGCAGACTCAAAACTATTTAAAGTTCCCAGCAACTCACTAAAATAAACCAATCCTTTTTATAAAAGCTTTGGAAACGAACTCGCAGTACAAATGCACTTAGATGCAAACAGACGTAAAATTTTAACAATACCTTATAAATAATTAAATAATACAATTCTAATTCAATTTATTACTTTGACTTTTAAAGATTTTCGTTAAATATACTAATATGGAAACTAAATGTGATTTACTAATAAAAAAAATATAACATATTTAATGTCTTTAAAGTACTGACAAGGTTGGTTAATCCCAAATGGGACAATCACAGCTAGTCTCCAATTGCATTATTTAAGTTGTACTTATAATAAATTAATATCCTCAAACATTTACCAGAGCAAACCACCGCATCTCGAAACAGGAACAGCCCGTGGCACTTTCTGTCAAAAAAAAAAACAAACCGATCAGTTCGTATCACGGCACATCACTCACAGCACTAACACTCGCACTATGTACAGTGGTCTAAGTACTTTGTCACATTAAGTTCAATGGATTACACTATTGCAATCACAGTTGTGCCGATTGAAATGTGATTATGACAAAGTACTTGGGGTGACCGCACCGTACCTGTTCGTACAACGTGGCCGGCCGAAACTTCAAAGCAATGGTTCGCCGCAAAACACTGTTACCTTCTTTTATACCTCGGAAACGGTCGCGAGATGCGCACAGTCTTCGTTTAACCGAAAGCACAAGTAAAGGCTGCGTAAAGTCGAAACGACCAATACGACTGCGCACTTTCACTATCGTTAGCAAAAAATGTACATTCGTTTTCGGAATGGACGCTTGTTTTGCGAACTTAAACAATTATAAATATAATTTTATTATTTATTTTTAATTTATTTTACTTTCATAATACACAATACTTAAAACACATAAATAATAAATACAGCCATAACATATGTCAGTGAAGTTTCCACAATAAACTAACTAACAATCATCAAATAAACGAGAGAGAGTGATTAATATGAAAAAAATTATGACAATATAACAATACAAAGAAAAGAAATATAACAATAACAATTGTAAGATAATTTTTTCTTCTTTAATTAAACGGAGTTTACGATAACAGATATTTTATTATATATTAATTATTATTATAAATTAGAGGCTTAATTATAAGAAATATAATAAAAATTTAGCATGAAATTATTCTCATTTATGTCGTCTCTTAACGAAGAACACCAACAACTCTTTTACGACTCAACTTTAATTTTTTTTTTATATTTTTTTTATTCCCTCGACGTTTACACCAATGCTCGTATTACAATATCAAGACAATGTTACGAATATTAATAAATTTAATATAAGAAATATTTACAAAATAAAACTTCTTTTTATGTAGCTCCTATTTCGTTCTCTTATCGTAGATACTTACTGTATTTGTGAGCATTCCAAATATTTAATCTGGTTTATAAAATTTAAATAAGATATTCATTCGTTATATTTCATATTTTAAATCAATCATGATCATCATCAACATCATTATATCAGCCTTAAACTATCCACTGCTGAACATAAGCCTCCCTCTATTGGGAGGAGGCCACGTTTGGCAGGCGGGTTGGCAACCGCAGTTAAACTTTGATGATGTTTTAAGGATGTTGCTGCCTATGCCTCGACCATTGAATTCCCTTACACGCCTCTTACGTAGCCTATGCCTATGTCGGAACCACACGGCAATCGTTATAATAATACATAATTTAATTTAATTAAATTAAACTTCCCCAAAAAGCAGCTATATGAATCATGTCAAAATTAATATGAAACCAACATGGAAGCAACAAGAATTATCAAAACCAATTCCAAATTTTCAAATATATATATTATGATATACACACACAAAAGGATATATAGGATTAAAATATCACCTTTTAAGAGTAATTTAAAAAGAGTCAGCCGTGTTTAGTGAACGTATTTTATTGGTACGGCTGTGGCGCTTTCGATTTATTTGCATACGTACTTGTAGTATTTGGTTGTACGATGTGCTTCTAGCATATACGCCGCGTGCTTGCGCGACCCAGCGGCTACACAATTTTATCGCATTATTACTAAACGCATGATACTCATAAAGTACATACTGGAGCAAGTTACTTAATCATTATGACATATGTCATAATGTAGTAATTAAGTAGGTAAGTTGCTATATGAGACCATCTTACTCGCTGTCTAATTACCTAATTAATAAAAAAAATAAACTCAGTTCGTCTGTATTTTTTGTGTTCACTTACGAGTGTGCTGCGCAATCTTCGTGAATTTTTTTATGCAATTTGAAATGGTATAGAAACTGACGGATCTCCTGATGGACAGTAGCAATCGTCTCTTATATTAATGCCAGCGTATTAATTAATTGATCGTTTAGGTCTCGGCATAGAATAGGCCACCCCTTCCTTTACCGTGGGTGTCGTAAGAGGTGACTAAGGGAGGGCGAGGGATAGGCAGCAATGTCCCTATTAGAACCTCTATAAAAGCCTGTGGTTGCGCATGCCAAGCGTGGCAACTACTGGCAAAACCCTCTAAAGGGGAATCTTTTATTCAGTAACGGACAGTTAAAGGCTGATATGATGATGACGATGTTTAATGCCACCATACTTTACAAAATACACCCTGTATTTTATTCTGTAATGTTTATTTTATCATCTTTTATATTATCACATTATTTTTTTATTAACTTTAATACACCTAGATAGTGTAAATGGCAGACTTAACACAATATGGCGTTATCTACCAATCGACCGTAAACAGGAATAACGGAAAATATAATTGACGGTGCAACGTGATAGACAAATAAATAGAAAATCAAAACGATATCACAATAAAAGAGTAAGTTAACAATAACATACATATAATACTCATATTATCTACATTACACATACATATATTAATGTAAACACACACACACACATACACAGGCACGCAACACGCACGCACGCACGCACGTACGCACGCACACGCACGCACACACACACACATTCACACACATATGTATATATTATGTGTGTAATTAATGTACCTCATATGTAATCAATCTTGGGAACTATATGTATATATACTATAATGTTCTTGCTCCAATTTTCTCCACGGTATATCCTGTAATTTCACTGTCATATCTTACCCTTCAAATCGTTATATAGCCGTTCTTGTCTGTATGTCTGCCAGTCCCACGAAAGTGTGTAAATTTAATTGATTTTAGTAAAGACACATCCAAGTAGAGGGAGACTTTGTACAAAAGTCGTTTCCTTTAATACCTCTGTCCCATTCTTGTTTCGATCGGCAATTGCGTAACAGCAAAAACGCCCTCCGTGTTTGCTCGCCTAATTTGTGAGGCCCGCCCGCCCAAATTTTACTGTCTGATGTTGCCCAACCCACCTACGCTTCACTCCTCCCCCATTGAATGGGAACAAGAGTATTGTTGAGTAGTTAGCATTGCATTGTAAACACATAATAATAAACACATAATATTTTAATCACATAAACATATATATATATATATATATATATATATATATATATATATACATATAAATGGACATTCACTATATATTCATCTTCGATGTATATTTTATATATATCGATGAAAATACTAACGGATATATATATATATATATAAAATTTGTTGTGTTATATATTGTGTGTTTTATGTTTAGAAAAAAAATATTTTTTATGTGAAAGGATATACTTACTGATTGTTCCTATATTAAAATCTATTCAACAATTTAGTATTTAAATCTAAATTAAAAAAAAAAAAACAAATTGGTTTACATCTGTAAATACGGCAGAAGTATATACGACCTCTTTTTTTAAAATCAATTGAAAAGGTAAAAGATTTTTCTGTACTTACAAACAGAAAAAGTAATCAACACGTACCTATATACATACAGACTGACATTGACTGTTTACTATATTTTTTGTTTTTTGATTATTCAACGTAATGTAAATTCGGAGACAATAGCGGTAATAAGCGGCCATTAAGCGTCGCGGTCTCATAATGACTGTAGAGAAAAGCGTCAGCGAAAATAGACGCATTACGCAATATCAGGCAATATAATAGTTGCAGATTAATTATAATCTCTCATAGCTTAATTGTTATTTTATAATTTTCTGCGAAACATTAAATTGTTTATTTATGCAACAACGCACAGCAAACAAGCTTACAGCCCACTACATTATGGAAAGTAGTAAATCATCATTAGTCATCAGTTCCGTGTACGCAAAAATAGTAGTGTACACAAAATGTATGTGTGTGTATTTATAATAATAAATGTGTGTTTAATCTGTAGTAAATATATTTATAAATTTATAGATACCATAAAAACAATGATTGTCAAAAGATTCATAAGCACACATTTTATTTTTATATAATAACTACCGGTTTTAATTAAGTGTAATTAGAATGAGAAAGCTCGATTAGTTTTGAGATCAATTCATGATCCTTAATCATGAGTGGCTGTAAGAGCCGCGAGCGACTAGAGCTCGCGCTCAGCGGGCCAACACGCGCAGTGGGACTTGCGCGCGTTTCATTAATTTTTATTTAAAAAAAAAATAATTTTAATGTAATAAACTAGATATATATTTTTTTATATTTATAAAAATAATTATCTGTTTCCATTAACAGGAATAGCAATGCGTGAATAGTATCATGAACGTCACAGAATATTTTGTGATGTCCACGGTACTGTTGCTGTCTATAGCCGACAGTTTTTTTTTTTTTTTTATGAGTGATAATGGAATGGTAACTCCACCCGCGCTATCGGTAGACACCGGCGGGCCACCAGTGAGAGATGATAGGTGAGGATGAAACAGGCCAGTTAGCCCATCGTGACGAATTCAACAAGAATTGTTCACGATGGTTTCCAGGGGGAACCACGTGGAGGTCGACCTGATAGGGCATATTGCTAGCAATGGGGCTGTGAAACTCCATTGCTAACAGCCCCTTTCCCCCCTATAGCCGACAGTTATCACTTTCCATCGGGTGGACCATCAACTTGACTGCCATTGTACATCATATAAAAAAAAATTAAAAGTGCATCCATTACAGTTTTACTTCACCGTCATCGTACTGTCCACAAATTTATGAGCCATAACACCCCATCATTTGTTATGGTGTTGATGGTGCTGGTGTTGGCACTAGAGTAATTTCCATTTATATTAATTTAAAAGTCGATTTAATTCATATGAAAAGGTTTGCTGGAAGAAATCTCTTATTAGAGATAAGCTCGCCTTTGTGCATTACGTTTAAAATTAATTGTTCTTAACAATATGTTTTTTTACAATGAGAAAAGAATAAATCTATATTAAAAAATGCTATTTTAAACTGATGATAACTGTTTCATTCTATATTTCTTATTATTTACTCGTCTACCCGTCTACTCGTCTACTCGTCTTCCCGTCTACTCGTCTACCCGTCTACCCGTCTACTCGTCTTCCCGTCTACCCGTCTACTCGTCTACTCGTCTACCCGTCTACCCGTCTACCCGTCTACCAGTCTACCAGTCTACCCGTCTACTCGTCTACTCGTCTACCCGTCTATTCCTCTACTCGTCTACTCGTCTACCCGTCTACCCGTCTACCCGTCTACCCGTCTACCCGTCTACCCGTCTACCAGTCTAC